TGTTTAGTCATTACAATCGACTACTTTCCTTGTAGGTTTCAAGACTATCAGTAATTCTTGATTAATAGTTCCCATTGGATGATGCTTATTTTAGAGACGCAAAGCTATTTAAAATCCAATAACATCATAAGCGTACACATATGAATGTGGGAAAATTCAACTTTCACTCATTCATCACTTTATGCAACCTAGGGTGAGAGAGCGCTTGCTAAAGCTCGAATGATAGTTTCAAGACCCATCTACTAGGAATGTTGGCACCAAATTTCTGACTACCATAATTATTGTGGCAGATAGAGAAAAAACAATGCAGAAATGGCAAATGCAGTTTCCAAAAATTTTCTAACGTTTATCTGTCTCCTTCTGACTTAGACGCGCTTCAAGCACAGCCGGCTCCCTAGAGACAGATGGCATTAAATCCGGCCTGCTCGGCATAATGACAACACCCTGCCCAAGGAGCAAGAGTTGAGCTGCGCTTCTGTTGACAAGGTTGACCAAACGACACGCCTCCTGACCGAGTTGAGGTTGGCCAAGGTCTATGGGACCTTGAAGACATGAGCGGCTGTTGCCAGTACCCGACATCAGTACTTGAGAAATGCCCTGCTTTACTGACACTTTGGACGTGCTCTGAAGGCGACTGTAGGTTGTTCCCATTTTTCCAACCACAAGGGGTCCCAACTCGATGTCAAACTTGGGTTCAACACCGAAACCTGTCACTTCGACTGAATAAATTGCCGCACCATTCACCTCGTACAGATACGTCTCGCTGAACTGGCCACGTCGACTAGGCGAAAAGGTGATACAGACAGCTTGACAATAGCCAACCGTTTTCGCATCTCCAGGCTGTCTTGTTCGGACTAGATCATCTAACGCCGAAGCTTCAGGTTGTGGTTGAAGTACAGTAGGCAGCAAAGATTGCTTGAATACTGGCTCATCTTCTTCCTCCTTCTCGGAAGGCAAGCATTCAATGCTGACTGAGTGCGTCTGACTGGTGTTAACTAACCAGAAGGAGTGCCATGCTGGCTCAAATCCTGGACCCAATGATACAAGTTGGAATCCAAAGTCAATACGTCGTGTAGAGAAGTGGACTGGAGGGTTGACGATCTCAGCTGACACAGGCATACCAAACACAGGGCCGTCAGAAATGGCTAAATAGGCGGCTATTAAACCATCCAGACAGAGACGACGTCGTTGACTGAGTGGCCTCGTACCCAATCCATTGCTGAGAGAAGGATCGCATCGACTCACTTCTCGACACTTTTTTAATGTCTGCTTCGAGTCACAATTGTGAGTATCAGCATTGTTTGACTTATTGGTACCTAGGACGGCAGCCGATGTGCAAGTGGAGCTGGTAGAGAGGTGTAACAGTCTTTTAGGTACTTGCAACTTTGCCACACAAGTGACTCGCTCTCCAGGCGCCAGCCGGCCTTCACTAGGCTCCATCCAGAGACCGGGCAGCTGAGCATCAGTTTCGGAGGCGTCGGACACTTCGGGCTTCTCTTCTCCTGATTCTTCATTTCTGGCCAAATTGCTACCTTTTTTGATCACTGTTTGAGCCAAACGATAGCTCATTTTTGATAGCGTCTGCCCACCGGTAGTCATTTCATTATCCTGGCGTTGAGGCAATCGTGGCGTCAGCAGCCAAAGATACGAGAATGTGAAACGACCCAAGTTAGCCAACACCACACGTCGCTCATGCTGCTCACCTGGTTCCATTCGACCGAAGCCCAGGCATTGGTCAGGATGGCCTAACGACTGCAGGCTAATCTGGCCAGCTGACATGGAGGCTGTGAGCCGACTAACACAGTCGTCGGCAGCGCTGGAGAACGATGTGCCTGGACAATAAAGCAGTAAAGGCACTAATCCTTTGCTTTGACTTTCGCCTGAAGCAAATGGCAAGTAAAGAGGTGAAAATGATACCATTGACGACAATGCAAATGCATTCCCAACTACCGTTGCCGAAGCTTCTTCAAGCTCACGATCAAGCCAGGCCAGCGGCCGCATTGTATAGGCTTCGGCTTTAACATTGAGCATCAGCGGTTTTGATCGTCGTTGCACCTGACAGAGAAGGTTGAAGTTGCACATGCGATCTTCGCGAGCGGTGAAGGAGATCGTGATTTGCACTCTTGTTTTATTCAAGCGTTTTTGCATTTATGTTTAGTTTAAATGTATGCATTTATATGTTAATTGATATGATGTATGTGTATGATGTAGGACAAATTTATTTTCGAATATGTCATAATGCGCGTGTATGTGTGTATTAAAAAAGGGAAGGTGACAGGGGTGTAAAGATGGGAAACACAAATAACACCAAAATTAAGGAATTATATGACACTAGTGACTCAATTAGAAAATATCCATTAATAGAGGTAAGGAAAGAATTTACAACATGAGTTTAATAGGTATGCATTTGCGCTTGAATTTCATAAGATCTTGCGCTAAAATCAAAGGTTCACTTTTATTTCAACTCATCCAGTATTTCATCATCATGCAACTAACCAAGGATGCTTAAGTTTAGACTAAAACTCGATTTAAACCATAGACTAAAAACTAAGTCAATGTTCCAATGCTGTAAATAACAAATATTATGCAGAGGACACTGGACTAGGTAAGTTCCACAAGATCTCCCTAACGTTTCGACTAAGTTGCGAAGACGAGGTGGAATCAACAAAAAAACGCATACTTTCTTTGAATTAAAGGGAAATTATATATGAAGAAGAGCTGGGTTTGGCTATCCGTTTCGAACTAAGAACTGGTTGGAAATAGTTCGTTAATTGGTCCCACTGGAACTTGGAGAAGGAATGTTTATGGATGAAGAATATTGGATTGAAAGAAGTCCCCGGCTTACCATCATGCGACTTAGATGAAACCATGCTAAAATTCCTTTTTAATGCGACAGACATTTTTATATTAAGAAACTACACTTTAGGAAAAAGTGCAACAGGATACTAAGCAAACATTTCTTCATAGTTTAGTACATTCTTGCGCAATTTCGTAGAGTATGGTTTCTCGTTTTGACAATGCCAGCTATTTTAGACGGACGTAAGCTTAGCATAGGTTCATTGGGGTCTCAATAAGATAAGCCAAGGGCTTCATCACACATTCAAAGCAATCCTTATTTAGTTTCCGGTAACATCAATTTACTTATTCCTTCCAGCCAACTTTTTCTTCGAACTTAAAAGTCAAATCAGACTAGAGAGCAAGAATGAAGCCTCATTTCTTAAACAAGATCCAATGATATCATAGAAACTAAATCATTATTTTCAATTTTTAATAAAATTCTATTAGATAAAAAACTGTTATATTTTGCTATCCCTATTTTATGCCCCGTGTCTGCAAATAACCATATAATTAGTTGGACTACCAACCATTTGATTATTTCAGACATGAGTGAATATTCTAGTGCTAACAGTTTGATTAGGACTTACTTGCTTCCAGGATCCACTCTGCCTTCAATGGGTTCTACATGCACTCTGTCCAATTGTCCAGCACTAAAACAACTTGCCTCGACGAAGCTGAACTTGAGGGAGTCGTCCTGTTTAGCACTTAGTCCTTGAGGTTTCGTTTCGTCAGTGATAGGGAGTCTTTTGTTAGCATCGCCAGACTCTAAATTCATCAGGTTGACTGTCTTTCTGATCGTATGTCCAACTAGTACGCCCTTGATATTGAGATGCGACGTTTCAAACAGCACTTGAGGCTCACGTGCCTGACCAACAATCAGGAATGGAACGGTCAGTGCGGGATCAAGACCAAGCGCGATGACAGTAAACCTCCAAGATGACTCGACTAGGCCTAATTTCCGTAAAACCATGTCAACACGGATCTTGAAGGAAAAAGGGATCAAGTAATATTGCAGATAATTAAGGTTGTCGTTATCCAAATGGACTACTTGACAGCTAAAATAAAGTTAAAATGTGAACTGAGGTAAATAAAGTGAGAAAAAATTAGCTTTGCGTTCTCCAATTTAAGGAAGGGATTTTTCCCCTTGCTGCCCTCCATCTTTAAAATTTAAGAGTGCTCTCCAGATGTGTAATAAATGGTTTCGACTTTTTTTTGGCATTGAAATCTGTACAAGATATGCTTTGTTAAAATCTGGTACAAAGTTTACAGCAAAATCAAATGAAAACGGAATATTAATTATTACACTTCA